TGGCAGGGCATGTCCTGAAACACAAACTGCTAGAGGGCACTGGGGTGGAGTGACAAACCCATCAATCTCCCGACATCTGCTTTGTACTCATTACCTAGAAAGTTAACAGTTCATTTGCATAAAATTTAAAGTTCTGGTTTGGAAGAACAGAGACAAACATACATTTCACTTCAATGAGAGACTCTTTGGGAAGCAGAAAGTCTCATCCCAATATTACACCACTTGGTAATATAAATAAGATCGCTACAATTAAAAGCATTAAGTTAGAGAGGACTTTAAGAAGAAGCAAAAATTTATAAGGAACATTTAAGAAAGAAACCAAAACCAAGGAAAAAATTTCATCTTTGAGATGCTTTGACATTGAAATGTCATTACTTCACTAGTTACAGACAATGACAGCAAAACCCCTAATAAAATTAAACCTTGCAGCTCTGTAATATTCATTTACTTATTTTGATGCAAAGGAGAGTAAAAAAAAAAAAAGGCTGAAGGCACACAGGAGCTGGGGAAGGGAGGAATGTCTAATATGATAATTAAATACTAATAACTCTACGGTAAAAATTCTACTGAAGTCTGTTGGTCTCTTGCGCATACATGTTACGACACAATTTGTAGGTGATGCAATGGTTTGGCTGAGTATCTGGAAGGCTGTGAGCTATTCCTCTACATGTGGTCCATTTGTGAGTAAGAAAGCAACTGCCTTGCCTTCTGTACTCTCTTACCAAAGACTTAATTCTCTTCACTTCACTGTAACTCTTGAAAGGGGCACATACTTCCTTGATATTGCAAACGGTTATAAGATATACCAATCACACAACTGCACCCTGCAGTTAAAATCACCTCCTGGCTGAAGAAGGCAGACACCAATGGTAGAAGTTGCAATCTAAGTGTCCTGTAGACACCACCAAGACAAAAACTTACTTAAAACATATAGGTTGATAAGTTCTGTTGCAACAGAGCAAACTTTGAAGACAAAGCTTTATGTCAGGCATTTTTTCCCCTGTGAATTGAGATTTTTGGAAAATACTGTTCAACAAAAGTAACATTTTTTTAATTGTATTTATGACTAACAGCATACATCTGTCACTGGAAAAAGACAAAACCAAAGAGAACAGTTTGATAAGAGACACAGCTTTCAGTGACAAGAAAGTTTTTCAATCTCCAGCAACATACTCAGCAATTATAGCATGGCAAAAGAATTGATATATCCTATCACATGCAGTTGTTACTACAAAGACTTACAGGTCGCTTTATCAAGTGCAGAAATTTCTTTTATCTAGACAGCCATTAACTGCAGTCATGGACAGTAACAAAGACAAGCTTGACATGGCATTTTAGAGAGCTACGATTGCTCCACATGACAGCTTTATTGGCTTTCATGTGCTTCTGTATGGAAGTGAAAATCAAAGCTGAAACTCCAGGCCTCTTTCCCCTTGCAAGATGCTGTAGCCAGGCAAATGTAAAACATTAATGCAGTTAGTTACTACCATTCTAAAAATAAATTAACGTCAGCATGTGTGCCACTGACAGTATCACACTTTCAGAACTAAATCAAACAAGAGTTGCTAAGTCTGCTAACCAATTACTGCTTGTTAAGCTTGGGCACATCTTCCCAAAAAGCCAGATAAGCTTGTCAGCTCTGCAAAGCCACCAAAGACCTAATGACATTCTTTGCAAGAATGGTGGTTTGCCAGAGTATCCTGGTTAGATCTTCCGCGGGTGGTTTGGTGGGCACAAGGCAACAGCCATCCACCCTTCTGCTGATACTGCACTGATGTAGTAATATTGCTTTACGCAGCAAATAGGGAAGGTGACAGTAGAAGACAAAGTAGCAGTGATTCATGTGCTGTGAGCATTATGAGAAAGGTGTTTTCAGAAAGAATCCAAAAGGTGAAATCCACCTCTAGGCAAAGGGCCAGCACAAAGCAAAGGACCTCAAAACCAGCTTAAAGTGGTGCTTTAAGTAATTGACGGGCTGCATGCCAGTCTTGTAGGTAAAGATTAATTTCACCCTCAAACTAAGGAGGGAACATTTAAGAAAGCCAAATGTGAACAAAAAACCCATCAGGTCAGCAACATATGCAGCACAGCAAAGGAACGGCAGGTTGCAAGGAGACTAGGTCAAGTCAGGAGGGAAGGGCAATAATACAGAAGTTAGAGTATTTTGTTGCCTGGCAATTCAAGAGCCAACAAAGAAACTATGAAAGAGGCAATGCATTGGGCATAGTGTTTTAGGAAGAGCCTTTTATACAATTGAGTTGGTTCGCTTTGCTAAAGGGAGTACCTTGTGAGAGTGAAAGTCATAAGACCAACTAATAAGGAGCACTTCCCACTCAAGATGGCAAAACCAGCTTTCTCAAATCAGGGATCTTAACTATCTAGAAATGGACAAACCAACCAACCTTGAATGATTCTGTTCATTTGAAAAGCACCAAAATGCAGTTTCCCTTTTAAAAATATATTCTTATTACATTTGGATGTTTGAAAGACATACTGTATCCAAATGTCTTATCCAGCTATCCAAAGTTATGTATTAACTAAGCATTAGCTTAGGTTTTAAAAGTAAAAGTGAGTATTTCCAATGTGGTGCTATGCTGGTGGCATATTCTGTTCTTCAAAACAGGAACGTCTGTAGTATTTACTCTTTCTCACCCTCTCCCAGTAAGGCACCACATGTTGCTGTGATGGAACTGCACCCCTCAGGACTGCCGTTGCACCTGGGCTCACTCACCACGCTTATCAGTCTTCCGGGCTAGGTATCTTAGGGATGGTCTTAAGCAGACCTTGTTATCTGAAAAGATGCAGATCTCTGCTGTAGCATTAGTGCAGCAAAACACCACTGACTATGAAATGAACTTTCTCTCCTGGCAAACCAGCTTTTTGAAGGAAAGATCTTTCTATCAAATCTGTAAGAGAATTTATTATGCTTAACTTTTTTCACTAGCTTCCTAAGGAAGCAATTAAGCATTTCTTTGCAATTATTCCATTAAGAAAACCAAGACAAATTAAAAAGGATTATCCACTTTGGTACTGTAGCGGAGGTCTGAAAGAAGTGCCTCCCTCCAGATTTTGGGGTCTGGATTTTATTCCTTGCAAACCCAGATTTCCCCCCTAAGTGGACCCAGCAAAATCTTTGGTGTTTGATGAACATTAAAAAGCCTGTACTTTCTTTTAGTTACACAATGTTACTAGGAAGATGGTATAAATATAAATACAATCACAACCATAATTTTGCTAGTTTACATACATTCCCATGTGAAAGACCTGAGTATACGAAGCAGAACACTGGAATAATGACTATAGCATAAAATGTTGCAAAAGTCATTTACAGCACTGTGTAAAAATGAGTAATTAAAAATACATACACAATTACATAATGAACAAGTTCTCTTTGTAAAAAGTAAACACGTTGGAAGTTAAGATTACAGCAAAATTACACAACCGATCCTTGTTAAGCTTGTTAAGCAAGCAATGGTATACCTTGTTTAAACAACCATGCTATGTCAGCCAGCCCTCCTCAAACTGCAGTGATACACTGAATTGGGAGGAGACATCTTGCACTTTGCATGTCAGCTCAGCCTTTAGAAACAGCTCACAATGGCTTGTAATGAAGCATGCATTTACTGTATTCTTCTTGGTCCTTAGAAATGCTGGTATTCAGAGTTTTTCCTAGAACAGACACTTTCTTTGTGCTGAGACAGATTTGCTTTATTAATCATAGGTATGCTTTCTAGTAGTGATTTTGTGATACTTGCTAATGGTGATTTTTGTGGTATTTGTGGTAATCTATAATAAAGTAGAGAAATTCAGAGGATAAAGCCTCCATGTCCTTGTGTATTACAGAATCCTATGAACCCAAGGTCACGATCTCTACACACCCGCAGGCCGAGTAACCTTTTAGGTTGTGAAAACTGCTTATTAAAACTGTTCTCATATTTAATACCACAGACATGTACAGAATCAAAGGCAGAAAACAGAATATCAGATCATGACCATACAGCATGTTAACGGATGAAGTACATAGAAAGTATACGTGTTCAAGGAGGCACGGAAAGATTGCACACTACATGCTGCTCTGGTCCGTCTGGAGGACTGGGACACACGCTTCCTCTGGGCTGACTACTGCTAAATAGCTGAGAACAGCTCTGATGTCCCCTCTCCGCACAGGCAGATCATCAGTCCTGCTGGCACCAAGCTGACTGGCACCTGGGACAGCCTCAAGAATTACAACATAAAAATGATGAGGATTTTTTTTAAATAGCTACTTTTACTTACAAAGCACCAGAAGCATTTAGGATACATTTTCTTCTGTCAAATTTTTGTCCAACATGAAGAAGGTAAGATTACATGCACGCACTGAGACCGCACATTCCCCTCATTTCACCTCTCAGAATTACACATATGGCCCAACTTGCACAAAAGCTCTGAGAACTAGTCACATTGCAAAAATAATTTGCACCATAAATCCATATTACTGCCTATAGCAGGGTTAATAGAGCTATACCAGGGAGTTTAGAAGCTACCAATACCCTCTCTGCTTAAATCACCAGAAACACAGCATTGATGGGAAACTCCATGGAAACTTCTTTCCACAGTACATCAGACAAAGAACGGGCAAAAAATAGCATTTTATAAAACACTAATGGATTTTGTTTGTTAATAAAAAGCAATCTCTGCCAGAGGCATTTAAACAAGGATGATGCAGAAATTGAGATGAATACTTTGGTAAGCCTTACTGCCAGCTTAATGTCTATAATGAAAAGTAATAAAGTGAACTAGGCATGTTGCTATACCAATTTTTTTTTTAACTCCGTTAAATATTGATAAGAACTTATATTCCTTACCAATGCCAGTAGCAACTCATTTTATGAATGCAAATTAAATTTTAATTTTTATTCTTCGTGAACATAAGTTTTATGCCTGTGCTTTATATTATACCTATAAGAGACTTCAAACAAATCTGTGATGTGTTATGAAAGCGTAATAATATAAGTGCCTACCTTTTTCAGGAACCGCACTCCATAGGTAAATATATATAGGTAAAAGGTAAATCTCCACCTGCAAAAGGTACAAGACATTAACTCTAGGATACCAGGTTTACATACTTACAGTTCAACACATGATTTCTTACAGCACTGCCAAACCACCACATCCTGGTCGTGCTAACAGAAGTTGAAGCAAAATTTTGGTCTGGTTTTCTACAACTTTTGTTGTAAAGTATTGTGCTCATCTGCCTGTTTTTCCTAGCCTCCCATTAGCCCTCTGAAAATACTGGCTAATTTCACCTAAACATGACAGGAAAACCACAAATTTTCAAGGCTAATTAAGTTTTTAAAAGTTTCATGAAAACTAGCAGGACTGTGGAGGACAGAGGACAATTCACACGCCTATTGCAGGGAAGCTCACTTGTTATTACACACCAGGCCAATGATAATAAGAAATTTTATTAAGCCTTCAACAGGTGACTTTAGAGTGCTGCACACCAAATACAGTCTTTAGTAATGAAAAGCATCATCCACAATAAGCTGGAATTTCACTTAGCAGATTCCAGCACTTCACTTTTAGTTTTAGAGAGTGCATTTGCATCAGATAGATATGCCGGATACAGATATATATCTACAATTTATGTCCACTTCCAAAAAGTTTCATTGACAAAGATGGTTCTACATTTTCCCAAGTACACATGAAATAATTGCTGGGCTTCTAGTTTTTCTTTTCAGATAGAGGCAAACTAGAAGCTAGGATCAAGATGCCATGGAAAATAAGAGAGAAACCAGCAGGAGATTTAATACGAAATCATCCTCTCCTCTACGTCTTTCTCCCTTCTCCAATAAAACAAGACATACAGAGTATCTTCCTATCTTTTGGACCCATTACTGGCTTAGGAAAGAAGAGTCAAGGGAAGTATAAGGAAATAAAATCAAAACCTCATGCAGTGTAAATTCTTAGAGGAATTCCTGTTTGCTTTTTTCCCAAGGGTTGGAGTGACTACACAAACATGCTTGACATAAACACCAGTGAGGTACTATTCATAACATTTAAACCAGGATGAGACTTGGCTTCCTTAGTGTGAGGCAATACTGCAGCGTGAATCATCTCCAATTACATATGTTACAGCACTTAAAACTTTCTCTCCACTGGCAAAACTATTAGTTTATGGTTAATTGGCACTGAAGCATGTTCAGACATTACTGGAATGGTTTCAAAACTGAAAATGCTCCTATGTAAAAGAAGGTTGATCCAAACCTTCCTCTTCAAAGCTACTTTTACAAGTATTCAGAAAGAAAGTTGTGTCATACATAAATAACCCTCTGACAAGTTGAGTACAGGAGAGTGTAACAACATCAATGAGATTTAAAGTGTGATATACTTCAGCTGAACAGAAACTCTCTCTTATCCTGTAGTCTCCACAGTACTGCAGAGATTAATTTATTCAATTGATATGATACAAATACCAATCCCTTCAAGGGTTCAGTCACACTAGCAACATGTCTCGCAGCTTTCATGCTGGCAGTTTTCTCACGATACTGCAAAAATAGAGCACTCGGAGGCAAAACGTTAGTTGTGCTGATAGAAACCTTCAGATCACACACATGGAAGAAACAGCAAGGACAGCAATATGAAGGAAGGTTTTATTTGGGCAACAATTTTCTCATTAGGCTGGTCCTATGGCTAGGAAACCTGCCATTTAACTTCAAGGTTACATACCTCATCTAGTGAAAGTTTGAAGGCTGTCACTGAAAATAAAAATATTAGGAGGGAAAAACTGTCTAACCTAATCTCACTGCTGAGCACTCCAAGTGCCCTTTTTTCACTCCTAAGTGTGAGCAGTTATGATAAATTCCTCACAAAGAGTTTTCTTGTTTTAAAAATCCCCTCAATATCACCTTTATTCCACATTTCTCCAAGAAAAATTCATAACATATTTGAGGACATTTGTAGCTTGCTGTTGGGAAATGCAATATTCCATAGAGGAGTTCAAAGGCAGCCTAAAGTATTTGAAATATTTTAATGGTTAAGTTTTAGATGGTGGGTCTCAGGGATTTTCCAGTCTGCACAGACGCCTGAAAGACTCTGGTTGCAGCATTTCATTCCTGAAACAAGCAAATTCAGAAACACCAATTTCCCTGTCTAACTTCCCACCCATCCCCGCAAAACGCTACCACTGCTGTAGATCTGAGCTAAAGCCATGGGTTGCCCTGTAGGAGAATTCCTGGAGCTCTGGAAATACCTCAGAGCCAAGAGCCACCAGGTACTATTTGGGTCAGCCAAAGACAATCTATTTACTCCAGCTGTTTGAATGCTACAAAGGTGATACATGCATACAAGCATATGATAATATATGCTATTGGTCTTCTTTCCTCTTTTTCCCTAACCTGCCAAACAAGTCTACTTAGATTGAGCATCAGAAGATAAAGCAAGGCTCAGAACTGGGTGACAGACAAAGCTGGTCAAAGTGCTAACTTCTTAAAAAAATAAGTAATACTG